GACTTCTCACTGGCAGTGAGAGAAGAGGTTGTGGCCAATGAACTCTTTGTTGAGCTCGAAAAGACGCTCCCTAGACTGGACATTGAGCGGGTTTTGGCAGACGCAGTTGTCAACCAAGCAAACGAGGCAGAGACCAGCCAGCGTACAGATAACAAGAGCTGGTTCTCAACTCACAAATTCCCAATCGCTAGTTGGCCGGGTATATTGCTTCGAGCCCGCTTGCAGAACTCAGACCATGTAGGGAGGAACCCGGCCTTCTAAAGAATTTAAAGTCTAAATAATGAGATTGAAAGACAGATGAAGGAATATAATAAAAGGGCGACTTTTACTTTGGCGGGCTGTAATTTATATGTATTTTACGCCAAACCTAGTCACATACATCCAATCTGCGTAACTAAAGATGGTCTAGCTAGTTAATAGCTAGCCTTGTTATCTAGGAAACTGTTGGTAGTATTTCTAATACCTAGTTGCAACCCAGAAACTAGATTGTAACACTTGCAATATACCACCACTCTGGGTATAAGCCCCTAAGCTTTGCCCATAGCAATTTAGAGCCTCTTTATCTAGTCGGTGATTTCTCCATACCATTTCACGCTTTTGTCATGTGGTACCTGGTAGAAATATCCGCCATGTACTTTAAATGGGGTTGCTCCTATAATACCATAAGTCAGCTTGGTGTAAAATTTATACTACAAAAACACAAGCCCTGTGGTTGAGTCGCGGCGGACCTTCTCCGTGGCATTGGCAGGCAACAATTGAACGCACACGACAATTGACGAGCAGAAAGTAGATATATGTGACGACGAAGGTCAGTTGTGTTTTTAAGAATCTACATTAAAATGAGTCTCTCAAGATACACTACTGACATGCGATTCTACTCGAAACCATGCAGCTGAAGCAAGCCCATCATTCACAGGAGTCTACAATCGTACATGCGCTGCTACCTATTCCCTTCACGCGAGGTTGATTGACTAAGCACACAGAGCGCAGAGAGCATAGGCAACCCTGTTTTCAAGACAGCAGTGCGTGAAATGCAAGCTTGGGAGCCAATGTATGTGAGCAAAGTTCCCAGACTACGGCTCTAATATTGTCAGCCGTCCTCCTTGTCACTTTATCGTTGGCAAGTCATACAACTCTATACCTCATTTATATCCTGCAAACAGTTTGCTTTTCTGTACGTATTCAGTCTGTTCATGCCTTAGGTTCGTGCGAGTGTTACGAGTTCCAAACAACTACCCAAAGTGCCATACCGGTAGTTACAGTAACTCCCATGAAAGCAAGGCTTCATAAGCCTTACGTCCATAAAGAGAAGAAAACATGAATGCAGAATGCACACACAGATTTTTGCAGTTCTTTCTCTAATCCGATGAGTCCATATGCGCATCGTAATCTTTCTGTAGACGTGACTGCCATCGCCGCATTATCGACAATACGATGCAAAGGACTGCTTGTCTGTCGACCGGCTTCTCCATACAAAACGGTCGTGTCGTGTTCATGTACACACACACATCCTTTTTATTGATATTAACAAGCTCTAGCTGCTGCTGTGTGTTTTCCGCTCTTAAATAAGAATCGTAGTCATTCCCAAACCTAAAGTCAATAAAGCGGATCAAGGTATTAGTTGCCGCCATAACAAATATGCTGTGGTATTCTATGTGTAAGCAAGAAAGCTATTTGACCCTGTGCAATCTGAAACCTGCTAGTCATCGCGGCCATCTGAGGCATTCCAGGCCGTAATTGCCTCGCCGAGGTACTGGGCCAATCTTTTTTCAGTCACACCCGCAGCAAGTTGCATCTTTTTATCATCATAGTAGCATTCGCCGTCGGCCTTCTTTCCTTCACACAAGATGATGTGTGGATCGGTAACCCTCCACAGTTTGCCGATCAAAGCCACGGCGGACAGACCGCCGTCATCTTCACCCACGAAGTTATGCTTTCTCCTAGGTGAGCGTGCGATTTTTTTCGATCCCAGCGTGCTTGTATCTCAAGCTTCCTAATAGTCCGTGCCCCTACATGAGCTTTCTAGATCAGGGCATTAACATTTTGCTCAAGGCAGCAACTGGATATGCACTTCAGAAACGTCATCGAGAGATGCACTGTGGTCTGTTCTGGAAGTCCGCTCTGGTCTATCAAGTCATCTTCATTCACATCGCCAACTGATGGCACAAAGGCAGATGAAGAGCCCAGACCGGGAGGAGATGACGAGAGCGAAACATCTGGAATAGAGCAGCCAGACGGGGATGCTTCCCTCGCGCCGACGGAAGATGAAGCCATTTCCTCATCGTGTTCCTGCTCTGAAATGCGATCCGTTGCGGATGGGGAGGAAGAGCTGCCGGGTATGGCAGTTCCAGAATCGACATAACCCGTGCGTATTAACGGTTCCTAGGGCCGTTGAGGGCGTGAGTCCTGTCGATAGTCCGCTCCAGTGCGAGTAGCCTTCGCAAGAGCAGCCCAGAAATGTCCCGTACGCCAATATCTAAGGAGTTCGCAGTTAGTCATCTCTCGATAGCAGACTAGGCCGTGGCCTAAATGTTCCTTAGTATACCCGAGGTCGAGCTCCTAGACCGACGACTCTCTCCTGATATCGCGATTACACCATGGGCACTCACTTCTATGGGCAGCTTCATGCTCAAGAACTTTTAGGCCGTCTTTCTCCAGGGACTCCGTGATTCGGTTGAAGGCGACAAGATGGCGTGGTGTCCATCTACTCGTAAACCTCCGCTGTTCTAACGGCCTAAGCTGGAAAAATACTCTAGCTGCCACGCCGTTCACAGACTTTGAATGCAATGCTAGAGTATCGAGGTCATGCTTGTTTTTAGCCAAGTACGTGGTGCTGGAGGTCAAACTGTCCCCCTGTCCGTCATTCAACTACTTCCTTCCAAAGACACAACATACTCCACAAACAGTTTACCAAGACTTACTACAGGACCATCGTTTGGGTGATATCCCCAGCTATATCACCTCTTGCCTTTCTCGATTCTCGTCGAACTAGCCATCGTCAGTTGCCACAATGACGACCATCGTCTCGAATCCTCCCCCATTGAGAGTATGTTCACCATCGCAGGTTAACGCACGCCTGGCACGGGTCTCCTTGCCCAATCGTTAACGTTCTTAGCTTGCCAATGCAGGTACCATGCCGCGTTCAAAGAAAGCCGGACGGACAATTTTGGCTGCGGAGGCTCCTCCAGCATCTTTCACTCCCGGGGTCGCCAAATATATCCCCGAACCCAAATTCCGATTCAGAAAACATGAAACAAATAAGCTGCCAGAACCCGCAGAAGAAATCAAGAGCGTTATCACTAGCGCAGTTTAGGATCTACTTTCACCTATCGCTCGGGGCATTGATATTAAACTAGCAGTGCTATACACACTCTTGGGACAGAATGGAATTTTCTCGCATGAGTACGCGTACTTCACCTCCTTATTGCCCCTATATACCGTCTGAAACGGAAATAAAACTCTAATAATTTATAGCCCTACTAACGTCTTTTTCCTTGGAAAGAGCTTAGAATTACGTTCCATGCTAATGGCATTTACCGTGCCAAGCGTGCCGCGGTCTTACTCGATCTCAATCGCATACGAAAATATAGCAACGTTGACAGCTACGTTGTGGCTAGTTCAATTTCCTGCGCCCAGAACATCCGGCGTGTCCTCCCTTCTAAGCGGTTGCAAGATCCGTGCAAACGCGGTGGGATCATTCCGGTACGTGCTACGATAACCTTCCTCCCCTGGAGAGACAACAATTACCGCAGGCGGGAACGGAGAGCTTCCTTTTCCCTCCCTCCTCGGGATAGTGGCTAAATTGCTCTTTGAGGTCCACGTCCTTGGCTATGATCGTGATCGAATATATCTCTACAGTGTGCACATTCCCACCATGCTACTTGATGGGCTTGAATCGCCAAGTATAGCCTTGCGTAACCACTCTTCTGATGTCCTTCTTGGAAGCTGGATTTAGTCAGGGAAAGAGCTCCGCTTGCTTTTGTGCTCTTTTATTAATGCTCTGAAAACCGAGTGGCATCCGTCAACAACTCTTGAACGGTCATATCAAAATACAACGTGAGTGCCACCAAATGGCCGAGCAATCTCCGCTATACCTTTTATGTTGAGAGATAAATATCGGGAGAGCCTTGAGGGTGCGGGATAGAGCACCAACCGGCGCAAAGCCGCTCTATATACATATATGCCAGCCGCAGCGATTGAATCGTACTGCAAAGTCTCACACATGTAATGACCGAGACCAAACATGTGCTTTATTAACACTACCAATACAATGTCACAGATGGGTTTCCGGGGTGTCTGTTCCCCCGACACGGTTTGTGACGTCTCACCGACGATTTTTCGAACGGAACGGACTAATCTTCTACGCGAAGAGAAGCACCAGACACCCGGCGTGCTAGAATTGATGTCATACAAGACTACAGACCACAGACAGACTCGGTCCCTGTTGCCCATTTAATGGAGAAGAATTATCGACCTTTCGCCACGCGAAAAAGTCTGTGAACGTCCGTGCAGGAGATGTCATGCCTAGGCTCAATCTCCTAAAGAAGGATGTCCCACATACCCTTGTTCTTGACCTCAGCGCCTGTGCTCCTTTCCCATGCATTGCATACCCAGCTGCAAATCTAAGTCGTGGCGCCTTGAGCGACATATGCGGAGTTAGTAGCGAAAACTAATATCGTGAGCCCTCGACTCACAATATCAATTGTAGAGTGTTGGCTGCCGAGAAGTAGAGTGTTTAGAGGTACCCGTAAATATTTAAGTTTATCTTAAGTTATATATACGTTGCTGGTTTTCTCATACAAGTAGTTAAAATAATTCATAAGTATTTTATAAAAAACGGAAATACTTATACTATTTGGATTTCCATAGCTGCAAGCACCGCTCTTGTCTTCTACGGATACGACCAGGTAAGCCCGGGTATCCCTACATGGCACCTTCACTTAAGACTCGCGTAGGGTGTGTTGGCAAATGTCCTAGTCGAGCAAGATTTCCTCGACACGATGGGCAATCCCTCAGCACAAGACCAAGGGACCACGACATCTGTATACAACCTTGGTTGTTTTGCTGGAGCATTATCCACTTTGTATTCTGGCGACAAGCTCGGCAGACCGAGAATTCTTATACTCGGTAGCTTTATTGTTGCCATTGCGCCGTCATCCAAGCTGCATCCTGCCTTGCAGCCCACATGTACGTTGGCCGTGTCGTGGCTGGCTTGGGTACTCGCATGAATACTGCCACTCCTAGCGTGTGGCAGTCCGAGACGTCAAAGATGCGAAGGCGTGCAAAACTAGTCATTATCCAAATGGCAAACTGCATCACCGGATTCTGCTTGTCGCAGTGGCTCACCTTGGACTTCTCGTTCGCTCCAGGCAGCGTATCATGGAGATTTCCACTAGCTTTCCAAGTTTCTGAGTGGTCCACAATATTCTGTTGCTTAACAAGGGTATTCTAACCACAAGAACAGTCTTGTCTGGGCTCATCATGCTGATATGCCCCTTCCTGCCGGATTTTCCGTGTCTGTTGATTCGCAAGGGAAAGTATAACAAAGCGCATAACGTGCTCGCAGCACTTCAAGGCAACGATGCCACTGCCGATTCACCATCAGTCAGAACACAATTCTCCATCGTTAAGGGCATCCTGGACACCGAGTATGCCGTCACCTACACGTGGTGGCGGCTCTTCTCTGGCAAGGGCCCTGCTGACGTCGTTCGTCGAATGACTCTTGGCGCGTGGAGCAAGCAATGAACCAGATTAGCGGTATTAATGTGACCTCATATTACATGACAGAGAGTTGAATCAGGATTAAGCCGCCGGCAATAAGGCACAATTGAGAAAGCAGTATATCCTTATTCATTCAATCGGCCTTAATAAGCTCCTGGCCAGAATCATAGCTGCCGCCGGCTCTGTTGATTGCCTCATTTTCTCATTCCTTGCATATTTTGTCGTTGAGTGCTACGGACGTCGCAAGGCTATGATGACCTCTGCCGCTGGATGTGCCCTCTGCTGGATGATAATTTCAACAGCTCTTGGACTTTCGGAAACTGGCAGGGGGGGGTCCTTTCAAGCTGAGCGCCGTTGCTGCTAGCTTTTACTTTATCTTTATCTTTTTTGCCTGTTTCGCCACGCGCGTTCTCGGCGTACTGTGGTTATACCCAGCGGAGATTAACGCCCTAGCATTCAGATCCCAAGGAGCAAGCCTTGCCATGGCCATTAACTGGATTATAAATTACATGGTGGCTCAAATCACGCCTCCGGGATTCGAACATCTGCGTCACAAATTCTGGATCATCTGGGTCGCAATTTGCGCGTCTTTTATTCCCACTACCTACTTCTCTTATCCTGAGACAGCCAACCGATCACTCAAGGACATCGACAGATTCTTCGCTGACCATCCAGGTATCTTGGTTTTTAGAAACAAGATAGCCACCCAGCTTCAAAGACCGTCAAATTACGAAGAAGGAGACAACAAAGTTGCTCACCGGAACGAGAATGTAAGCGATAAGAAATTAGCTACAACTGTGAGTACCACCCCATAAGGAACAAGGGGCTCATTACCAGGCAGCTACTTTATTCAGACAGTGAAGCTAGTAGTTAGTCACTTATCCAGTCCAACTGAGCGAATGGCCAGTTGATCCAGTCTAGTCAGTCCTCTTTTAGACCGCATCACTCAGCTGAATAATCTTCAACTAAACCGGTTAGGCAATGTAACCCACTTAGTTAGACTAGCAGTTGAATAATATTATTAGTGATTGTCAAACGAGTGGCGTTCTCAGCAATTAGAATACCGAGTTTATAGCTATTAATATATACACCATATTTTATAAGGCTATACTTTATGTATTGTTGTTACTATACTAGATTCCCACACAGTGCCAAGGTCTCTTCGTAGCCCACTACTAATACGGTCTCTGTAACAAACAACGCGACATACTTTACTGCCTCGCCACGCTTTCTGAACTTGTGCGGCAACGCAAATTTTAACAGTCATGGTTCTTTTCCAATCTGTGTAGTTGTCAGTAGGCAGAGCAGATTTTTAGGATACCCCTAACATCCCAATGTGTGTATTGTTAGCCTTTTCCTGTGCAGATTGCTACACAAAGCGAAGGAAGCGGAATGGCTTATATTATTCGTATTGCCCGTCACCGGTTTAGGTGCCGGGTCAAGTTACTGAGAGACAGTACCTCGATAATGAAATGTTGGGGCCCTTGAAATCTGAACGCACATATGCTCATTCATGTATACACGGACATCACCCACTCGCACTATTAGAGCAGTCCCGGCGTCCACCAAGGCATCACCTCCCCCAAGCAACAAGCTTGCATCCTGGCACACGGTCGTCAATGATGAATACCGTGTTAAAGTTTCTCCTGACTTGGATAAGGTTAACACTAAGGCATGTGCGCTGCGCGTCGTCAAGTAGGCTAGGAGTAGGCAGCGGACGGGCATTGATCAAACTGCTTCCCATATTAACGACTCGATGTCTCGGACGATAAACCAGAGCATTTCCTAGAGTAGTAAATATATTACTTTAGACGTAATAGTGGTACGGGCTTATTCTGAGCGGTAGAAGGGACCCTAACCCTAAACAGCCAGCAAGGCTTGTCCGGAAATACTATTGGCCGTCTCACTAGCTGGAACCCTTTGGTTTTATTTGCAGGGGCCAACTCGGACATTCAATATGTCATCACCAAAAACAATGTACGGGCCATGGCTGCAATTTTTCTTATTGGGCTCCTCCGAAAAAAATGGACGGCAATAGTCCTCCTCTTCCACCGGCTCTGGGGACGACTCTTATCCTGGGGCCACCGCCAAGCTAGGACACCCGAACAGGTCCTAAGAGACTCTTTTCCAGAAGCGCGAGAGCGCCTGAAGAAGGCAAAGAAAGCCTTCATAGATGCGTTGGATCCGGACGCGATCTGCGCTTTGGCTTCACGCCACAACAATGGGAAAGCATGCCGTATCGTTGGGCAAGACAACGGCAGCTTTAATGCGTGTTTCTTTGTCGAGTTTGACCCCGATACAGACTCGCAACACGACGTCAATGCCGACGTAGTTCCACAAAATAATGTCGCAAAATGGGTAGTTCGCGTGCCTATTGAACCCGCTGTCCATAATCCTTGGGATAAGATACGTAGCGAAGTAAATACTCTACAGTGCGTAGGCGTTATTTACCCTTTTTTTCCTTTTGCCTTTGCTTATCAAGCGATAGATATCTCCAAAATAACACACGGATCCCTGTCCCGTCTGTTTATGCTTATGGATATAACGAGCAGCTTGGAAAAACAGGCTGCACCTATATGTATTTGATTACCAGCTTCATCCCCGGCACGCCACTCAAGATTGCTACATTCCTGGAAAGTTCAACGGAAACACGTGCAGCCTTCTACTCCCAAATCATAGACGTTTTAGCAGAACTCTCACAACTAGAGTTTCCTGCCATTTGCTCCTTGATGCCAGAGGGAAGATTTATTGGGCCGTTGTCACCGTCCTTAAACGAACGTCGTGAGACTCTCCCTGTATTCACCTCTGCCGCTGAGTATATGAAGGCTCAATGGGAAAACATCAAAAAGCATGCCGAGATTTTAGACGAAGACCTTACGGAGGAGGACATTCGGGATGAAATGTTTGTTCTACATCACCTTGAACCATATTTTCATGAGCTTAGTCCCACAAATCATTCCGAAAAAGGACCATTCGTCCTGTCTCATCCTGATTTCCGGTGCGGCAATACTATTGTCGATGAGAACATGAATATACAAGGAATAATTGACTGGGAGTTTGCTAGTACCATTCCCAGAAGCCTGCTCTCTCCACCATCCTGGATAACCAACCACGATGGGCATATACATCTACAATTTGCCATGGACAAGTTATACAATCAGTTTGTTAGCGTGCTGGAAGAGAAAAGTAAACACAACAGCGTATGCGCCCAGCTTCAAAAGGAATGGTTCGAGGGGGTGGCTAACCGCACGTCAAACGCATTCCGCATAGCCTATCTGGTTCGCTGGCCGGGGGAAATTTCGCATACTTTTCTAGACTTCTTCAGAAGTGAGATCTTGGGGGATGAGTCGCAAGCCAGGGAAAAAGAAACCGAATTCTTCCAGCAGCGACCACATCTTGTGGTCGAGACGCGACGACGCTTTGAGCGTAGTGACGAATATGCAAGATATTTGAAGGATAATGGACTATACGAGGAAGACGAGAATCAACTTGCTTTAAACAAACTTCAATCGGAGTTGGACGCTAAGACAGACAGACTTGGTATGGACCGAATCATTCTGCGATAGAAGACAACACACCCTTACTTATGTCCCTTTGTCTTCTCTGCATTTTCCAGTGCCCTCTCACGGTCTTGCAATTCCCCGATCTTTGCCCACATACGTCCTGATGAGACCTCTAAATCCAGAATCCTCTGCTCCAGACGCTTTTGCTCATCTGCCATCTTAGTCCCGCGCTCGACTTTTCCTCTTCTTAATTTCGCACTGGATGAGGCGTTTTCCACGATATTAATGTTCTGTGGAGTGACGTAGGCGAGGAGGTCTCCTGTTTTTTTAAGTTGTTGAAGTTCAGCGTTATGGCCGCGGATTAGGTCACTGAGTCTGGATTTAACTTCTTTCAATTCATCTGCATTCCAGTGCATAGTTTCTGTAGATATTTGTATATGAACTGAGTTGGTATATTTCTGTTCTTGTAAGAGCAGATTGTTCAAATTAAACAAATGAAAAACTACACCTATTCTTCACAGTGAGGGCACAACGACTTTATAGGCACTTCCTGCCCCATACTGGTCAAGACAAAGTGACCAATTACACACCCGGCGCCTTTAGGCAACCGTGGCCGTTTAAGGCGACCGCCTCAGTGAAATGATCTCACATGACACCACACAGGGAGACGTGCATGAGTCTAATTGGGCTGTTGGCTGTTAAAAACCTCCATACTGTCGAGTTGTCAAGGCACGAGACAAGAGTCGAAGGTCTTGCACAAGAAAAGTTTGCCCCTCGAGCAAAATCAACTATTCGCGCTCTAAACTGGTGATGAATCTCAACCTGAAGCCTTCTTAAAAATTACCGGAGACAGAAACATAGCGGCGTTAACGATTATTAACGGAATAACCACCAGCCAGGCTCTGCTGTCTATCCCGGTCGTATGAAGCCCACCGCGAGGATTTGCCTTTCAAGTAGAGGATACTGTAATTTTGCTTTGTTCTTTTCCATATTGAACTGATCCTGTATCGCCGGTACAGTCTTTGGTAGCAATGATGAGGTCAGAGTTTAGGCACTTATTTACTTATTGCACCGAATTGAAAACACGCAGCTATAGCTACATTGCTGGTAGCATCGCAAAGATCGCAGAAGACCTTTGTAGCGCTAGGCTACCTTTCCCGCTTGGAGCCTATCGTGTGCCTGCAACAAACATTATTCCAATCATTTATCACAGAAAGGGGGTGGGATGGGGTTTTAGCACCTTTAACGGCAGAAGCCCTAGGTAAAAGGGGTCGCCTGGTATATATTCTGGCCATCAGCAGGACAAGGCAGGCGATAGAGAGGGCTGCAAGCGTCAACATTACACAAGGCATCATGTGCAATAGATAAACTGTCACTGGTTGTCGTTACTGTTTCACTTTTCAAATTGGATCAGCTTTATTAAAGTACTTTTTTTCTATTGCACGGGTTCAATTTTCTGCAGTTGCTCTAGTTCTTTCACATAAGGCACAGCTACATCTTTGCCGTCTTTGCTCAAACAGGTACTGTCAGGATTTACCTAGACTAGGCGAAATTGAAATGCCACTTCCGCTAGTGCCATCTATAATTAAAGCTTATTTACCTCTCAGTTGTAGTGCGCCCTGTATTTTTACCCGTTGACAGGTGCTTGAGGCTTTGGAGACTCTTTACTGTCAACCCACTCAGACAGCTAACATTTTCTCTTTCAATAATTCAACCAGCATGTCTCATCGACAGAACCTAATAGCTTAGACCTATAGATGCGGCTTCGCGAAGAGGGTGGTATAGTCTTCCCTGGCAGCGCCGTAAGAATGGAAATTACACGGTGTTGGGCTCAACATCATCTACCATAGCGTTCAAATCTAGTCTCCCGCCTCCTAAATGTTCATACATCACTTGTAAAAGCTCTTGAAGCTTGATATGCCACTTTTAGATATAGCTTCTTTGTGACTGGCTGCTCGATGTCGCGACTCGTTAAGGCTAGTGGTGTCAATGTACATGAACACGACGTAATAAGGCTGTTGGAACCTGAATTCCCAGTCCACGCTGTTCGATCTATACGACTTGTGGCTAAGGTATTTAATTTATTTCTGTCTTTAATTTCTTAATTAAGGTCCTGAATTTTGCAAAAGGATTGGTTCGCTATATCTGGGTGCCCTAAGAAGATACTAGTATAGGCTAAGAGCAAAATAACCGAAACAGTCTTTTCCAGGCATAGGTTACTATTATTTAGTCATAGATATCTAACCTATGTAGTTCCTTTTGTGTCTCACAGGAATGGATCGGCTCCCAGTTTGACCCCATACACCTCATTCGCCAAATCGCCGCCCAGTCAATTTGTTCCATGGTGACCCGAAATTATGGGAAGAGGACGAGGATATTAAACTGATTGCGCCAGGGTTAGACACGACGGCCAAATCAGTGGTTAGATTCAAGGATAGCTTGCCTACCATGGTCTGTCTAGGGCCCCCTGTATGCAGCGGTTGAGTTGGTCTCACCATGAACACCCTGTAATATGGGACGAACCTATTTGCTCATATTAATTACGGCCTGGTTTGAACACCACCTGCTAGACAAGTAGGGGTGACCTGCTCAAAGGAGCTTGTCGGTCATCAAATTGTATCGAAGATACTCAGTAATCTGGGATAGGCACTCCCAATTCCACCCGGTATGAAACGTATGCGATATGGCCGCAAGTCAACGACTCCGCTACGAGTACTCCGGGCCCGGTGCGGCATTTCAAATGAGTATATCCACGCAGCGTTTCAGGCAAAGAAAATGCACATCTCTACTTGTGCCATGAAGCCGCGCCAAGTCCCGAGCTTCTGTAACAGCGGCCACGGTTATCTCAATGGCGATGGACCGACGGACCTGGCAGCGCGGGGAGATTTTGGCAGAAGCAAGTATTAAAGGTCGGATTGGCCATGCGAAGACGGTTCGCTTTTTCGTCCGAGCTTGCCAGTAAACAATTATCTCTACATAGCGATTGGGACTCGGTAGTGGCCCCAAAATGAAGTGCTCGTTGACTACCGTCGCCGCTTTCGGCCCCTAGGTTGGCCTCGCCCTTATTGGCAACGACTGGTCTTTCCCCGGCAGACCGGGGGCGGTTTAAAAGACATTACTTTCCCATTCAACTTGGCCGGAGCCTCTCATGACTCCGGATAGTATTTCTCCTAGCAGTTCAACTTTCACAATATCCAAGATGTTGGTTACTGCGGCATCCAGAACCGACCCGACATTAACACGGGAAAAGCGTCGTACACGCTGTTTTCTCGTCCTTCCAGGCAGGCACTACTGCCAGTGATGACAACCGCCACGATGGTGCTGATAGCGGTCCCGGTATGAGCTGCGCGGTCGAGGTTATCGGCGATTACAGCCC